GGTCTGGTGGAAGGTGTCCCTGCCCATGGCAGGGGGGTTGGAACTAGGTGGTCTTTAAGGTCCCTTTCAACCAAACTATTCTATGATTCTATGATAAAACCCCCTGAACTGGCTCTACTGATACCTGGTAGTTTAAAAAGCGGTCATTGGGCATTTGGTTTTGTTGTTTGTTTGTTCGTTTTTTTCACAATCTTCCTTTCATTTTTTCAGATTAATTTCATTCTTTTTGTCAACATTTTAAGAATCTTGATGAGGAAGCTCAGCTCACCTGAAGGACGGAGCAGTGATTTCAACCAATACAAGTATGTCCCTTAACATTGCGACTTTATGCCATGTAAGCCCACCCAAGATCCTCTTGCTCCTTCTACACTGCCTTTCCCCTCTGCTTCTGTTCTCAGGAGACTTGCAAAGTCAACGCTTCTCCTCATCCCTCTTTTTGGGGTCCACTACATCATCTTCGCTTTTTTCCCTGAAGATGCAAGCAGCGGCACAATGGAAATTCAGCTGTTTTTTGAATTGGCTCTTGGATCATTCCAGGTAATATTTGACAAGCTATTATTTCTTTAAAATAAGAAAAAAAAGGTATAACATATAACTCTGCAACAGAGCAGAGTCTCAATAGCAAAACCAAGCTGTCTGATTTCCCTTGAGATGTCTCATCCCCATTCAAAAGCTGAAACTGCAGTTCTAATTCTGTGACCATGGTTCTTTTATCTTTCAGGGCTTTGTCGTGGCTGTACTTTATTGTTTTCTTAATGGTGAGGTGAGTTTTGTGTATATAACATTCTTTTTTATTGCTCAAGCATGCCTCATCAATCAGTAGGATACTTTCTCCAATGAATTACACATTTTATCTGAGGGTTTTCTTTCCAGCTACCTAACGTCACTGGTGAAATACCTCCTAGACCTGGCAAGCCTAAGTAATTATATGCCAGATGCAAACTTTGCCTCTCAACTATTGCAGCGCTTTCGTAAATCAGATGGCATTATTACTGTCTGGGAACGGAGGGTGGGAGTACCATCTCAGACACGGTCACACTGACAATCAACTGGTTCTGACATATGGTGCTATTATCTGTCATCCCATGGCTGATTTCTTTGCTTGATCCTTTGGAGGGAATTTATCCAAAGCTGTATCCAGTCCAAGTTTATTAGGACTCTCATAAGGTAAAGCTTTGGGAAGAGGGACTGTTTCCTTTGTAGTTGTATGATAACTCCCAGGCTTCTGGGCTAGAGCTTGCATCTGAAATGCTGATGCTGGTAGAGGGTGGGGGGAAACATTATTCAAACCTGGGAGATCCTGAGGTTATTGGAAGGAAAAAAAAACAACCCACATTAGTGCTGAAGGCTGGAAGAAAAAGTCACTTTGAAATGGAGGAGGAGTTTGAAATCCTTGCACTGATCTTTTAACAGGGTTCAGAAAAAGTTGTTTTGAAAAGAAAACCTGCATTTTTATTTTTTTTTTTTTTACCTTAGAGTGCCAAAATGTCCTGTTTTTGTAACTAAAATAAAAATCTTGGAAAAATCCAAACCAAACACTTACTAAGGCCAGCTAGACTCTGTGAACATTTTCACCTGCAATTAAACAGAAAAATAGGTTAACAAAATTGTGTGGCTGCAACAACAGTATCACTAGGAGTGATAAGAAACAGGCCCTACTCTAACCCCTTAAACTGGGGGTTAAATAAATAAACCCAAACCTTGGCATAGGTAAACCGCTCTTTTTTTTTGTTATACTGCTCTCTGCAATGCAGGGCTCCAAGATAAACTAGCTGAACTAAGTATTTTGTGACCTTTCTACCTAGGTTCAGCTGGAAGTTCAGAGAAAATGGAGGCAGTGGCATTTAAGCAAAGACTTGCGTCAGCATCTCAGCACCTCAGCGAGTAACGGAGGAAGTGGCTTAACTCAAGAGATGCAGATGGTGAGGTCGAGCCCACCAGAGCACAGGAGAGCAACCCTCCAAAGATCAAGCGTGCTTTAACACTGTACACCTGGAGGATACCTCCATGCTCAGATACACATGGTTAAATCCCATGGACTGTGCTGGGAGTCTTGTGTACGTATCTGAAAGCGGGACTTGGCTTTAGATCAATGGTTCTTGAAACACATCTGTTCATTTATATCCTGTGTAGCACTAGAGTCATTTTGCAAAGCAAAATGGGCCAAAATATTATGCTCTTCCTTGGGTTTCTGGCCACAGTCATTTTTGTTTCTTTCCACACCAATATTTTTTGGCTGCTATTTCTACCTTAAACGTGACCTTTCATTTTCCATGTGGCTCTCCAACATGTTCCAGGCCAAGCCAGGCTGGTGAGTTTTAGATGTTCTCTATTTCTTCTGCTGTGGAAGCTGGGAGGACATTCAGTTTTGTACAATGAAGGTTACATGCCATCCTTTAACATAGCCCATGGGTTTGAAATGCAAAATTAATTAATCCTTAAAATTTACCAAGATTCAAAGTCTTTCTGTTGCGCTGATGGATGACGGACACTGAGAACATAAAACACAGCCGAGCTCCTGTTTCCTCTCTGATTGCATATCTGTTGCTCAGGTATGATACGGTGACAGTGGCAGGTTCAGACAGTTCTCTTCCTTTGCCTCTTCTGACAGTGGAGACCTCGGAAATAAGTGTTCCAATTTGGATCCTCATATCTTTTTGAAATGGTAAAAAAGCTAATAGAGCATATTCCAAGGGTGGCCAAGAAAACTTCAGTAAGATGATTCCTTCCTATTGTGTCTGTACCTCTGAGACTTGTCTAGCTAGTCTTAGAAGAAAAGCAATGAAAGCCCTTGAGACATTTAAAACTCAATTGAACTGGACAGTACAAGGTGTCTTGTGAAAAAAACCAAACACCATAATGGCTTGCAAAAATCTCTTTAGAGTCTACAGTCATTCAGCATGCTGAAATCTGCAAGACTGCACACTGTAATACACTGTCACAAGGTATCTGAACTCCTATTATAGCTTTACGTTCTTAAGGATAAAATTGTTAAGCAACTTTCCCTGGTTTGAGTGGGAAAGGGATAAAAGAATTCATCCAACGAATGCAGTCAAGCCTCCTACTTGATTTTATAACTGCATTTTCCCAGTTGGGGCAATTCTTGCCTGGTTTTCTTCAAGGTAAAGGTGACTGAACAGAAAGCAAGTGGTGTTTATCACACATCTCCCTCCTCCCGATCACCTACAAGACATTGACAAAATGTGCATGGTATGTCAAATGCTGACCGAGCGGCATTCCCCAACATTCCCCAACCACTCTGCCAAAACTGCTCTAACGAGCTTTTATTCACACCTAACCATCATGGTAGACTTCTGCCATTTTACCAGAAGGCAAACATGCAGAAAAATTCAAAAGATGCTTTCAAAGTTAAATTACCTGTGCAGAAGCAGATTTTTGAGTGCTATTAGCACTGTTTCAAACCCCGAGATTCAGGAAAGATGACTTTTTTTTCTCTGCTGATGCTGACAGTTATACCGCACAGCCTGCATCCTCCCTGGTGAAGCAGGGATTGTGGGCAGCAGCAGCACTGATGGCAGCCAGGTGAGAAAGGGCACCTCGGCAGAAGGGAGATGTTCGTGTTCCCTCTGGCCTCCCCTGCCTGGTTGGCTTTGTCGGCTGATGCAGATCACCCAACAGTGGGAGAGTTGAACCTCTTTAAAACCAGGGAAAAAAAAACCCAAATATAAAGCAGTAAACTTGCAAGCATTTCCAGGAATTAATTTTAAACTTACGTTTTTGGAAATGGCAAGGTTTTGAGTTGACTTTGTCCTTTAAAACTCAGCCAAAGCAAGTGGAAGGAAAAGCAGAAGCAGGCTCAATCCCATGACCAAGGGAGAGGTGAAAGCCTCTCCACGCACATTTGGGTAAAAGACCTACCCAAGCCAAGCAGAGCCTCCAGCCTTCTCAGAGGTTCACTCTGTCCCAGTGCATTTAGCAATTCAGATACTTCCAAAAAGATACAACCATTAGCCTGATTTTCTCTCTGGCCTATGACTAAGACCAAGAAGAGTGAAACAACTTGTATGTTCCCTGTCAAGAATTAAACATTCATCAGTCAAGCCAAAGCAGCTGTTTGTTTTAAATGCAAGTGCCTTCTTCCAACATAAATGAAGAAATATAGATTCAGAGATACAATAACATGTAATTAATTAGATCTGATGCAATTACTGGCTCTCCACAAGCCCCTGTAAGAAAGAGCTCAGCCCTGCAGTGCGTAGTTACGAACAGCACTGATGGCACAAGGAGCCCAGGCTGCGCACGAGATTTGTACGGGAGTCCTGGTGAAACAGGGGCAAACCACATGCCCCCAAAATAAAAATGCTGCTGTTTTTTGTATTTTAAAAAAAGTTCTAGCATAAGTTATTGTTTTACATGGCCATTTTAGGTTTTATTTGACTTGCCTGAAATAACAAAAAAAAAAGAGGATATATTCCCAGATTCTGTATTACATTTGCTTCAGGCATTGAGCACTGGCCTGGCTTGTGTGAAGAGCTGAGGCTCCATAAAAACCCTGGGATGTCAGCCGGCATTCGGAGTTCTCGGCTCTTTGGGAGGAACAAGTCCCCTCAGGCAGGTGCCAGAAGCAGGCAGCCCCAGGCACTGCGATGCTGTGACTTGGATGTAGAAAGCTGCTGCCAACCACCACCATAGTGGGATGGGTTCTCACCTCACCCATCTTCTGTACAGGCGAAGCAAAAGCACCCTTCCCTGCTGGAGATCTCTCTTGATGAACCGTACTGAAGAGTACTAAAGAAATGAACTCCTTAGCTCTGGGAGCGCTGACATGTTCATAAGCAGATGAAGAGGAACAGGGAAGTAAATTTCAGCAAGCAATGCAAAAAGCAGGAGATGAACGGGTGTAAGGCACACAGATTCCAGCGTCAGTGGCCTGAAACTACCGACACAGGCTGAACACAAACTCCTTAGAGTTCACCAACTTCCCTTTCTTTGTACTTGCTCCTCGGTATTCAAGAAAGCAGGCACTCGTTATCAGTAAATAAGGCTTGAGTACCATCTTTCAGACAGGCAGTTATCATTGTTCTGGGACATTAGTGACAGCCTCCGGCTATTCACTCCAGGTCCCCCAAGAAGCCAGAGGGGCAGGCAGCAGCTCCTGCAGCCTGAACATCAGCAGTCCAAGGCCTAAGCCTGAATTTAAAAGCAAGTATTTAATGGATTTTCTCTTCCAGCACAGCAACAAGGAAGTTCCCAGCAAAACCATCAGAAGCAAAACGCAGTATTGTTGTGCAGTGAATAATTACATTGTGCAATGCCTCACTGGGCATTAGGGGAGCTGAAATGAACTGTTTCAGAATGGGGTGGTGCCAATTCAGAGGGACTGGATCCACTTGAATCCAGCCAACACCCCTTCCAGCACACCCCCTCAGGGCAGACCTTTCTTTCACCCAGAAAGGAGGCAAGAGCAAGCTGACGTGGAAGGCTTAGAAGGACCATTACCTGCTTATCATAGGCCCCAGAAGAGGGAAAGCAAAGGCAGGTGAGGACAGTCATCTTCCTGTAATCACCTTCCCCAGTCTCACAAAAGCAAGCAAAGCTCAACTCCCAAGCCACATGTCCCTCCAAGCACAGCTGATGAAGGTACTGTAGAATTAAAATTCATAATACCAGTAACAGTCCAGGATATCTCCCTAGCTAGCATGCCCTGTACCATTATTTCTTTATTCTTATCTGCAAGCAACGGTTTGTGCACAAGTTTCCAATTAAAGTTAGTAAATGAGCAAGTCTATGCAGCTCATTAACAAGAGGTGATGTTCATTACCCTGCTTTTAAGAGATATTAAACCATCTGAGACAGGCCAATGACCTCTCCCATCAGAAAGAGAACACCAGGTGCTAATTACCTTAGTTGAGATTACATAAACTAATTCAGTGGTGAAGCTGGAAATCTGTTTTCCTGACATTTAACTAAACTTGTTAGTACAGTGAACTCAAAAAAACCCTGCATAAATACATTTGTACTCAGACACCCATTCTGCAGGACTAACAAGCAGAGCTGGGGAAAAGAGCAAAGATGCTTCAGACACAGGGTGCGGTGTGGGAAAAGGGAGCTGAAGGACACAGGAAAGAGCTCTTTAGCTGGTAAACAGAGCACATGCAACAGCAGGAAATCATTAAGAGCCTACAAGGTTATCTCCAATTCCCAAGGAGCAGCACAGCTGACTGCCTCTTTTGTTTTGCAAGACAAGAAAGCGGTGTTGGCCCTTTGGGTTGATGTGGACATATTGGAAGGGAAAGGAGAGGGGAGCGTGCAGCAGCCTCGGCTCCCTTGGTTGGAGCTCAGCAAAACACCAAGCAGTCATTTCTTCATCAGTCTAGCTGGGTAAACATACGGAATGGTGCCTGGGACATTATGTAAACCGCATGCATCCCCTTAAATCTGCACCCCAATATCTAAATAAAGACAGCATTACAGTTATCTTATTTCAAAGAAATTTATTGAAAAAACTTCAGCAGTATTGCTTGACACGTCCACAGGCTTCAGAAAATGAAGTTAGCCACTGCTGCACAGGCTGCTGTTTATAAAGATGTCTCCAAGACAATCAGTCCTGTTTTGTAATACTTAGCCATCAAAGCGCATCTTCTCCCAGCATTAGTAAGTCAAGCAGTACTATACAAGGCAGTTGGAAAAAAAGTTACTGTATTTTCCCTAGAGAATTCCCTACCCCCAACAAAAGGCCATTCTTCAGCTAGCAGAGGGCATCCTAAAATCATCCACAATTGCACCAAGTCTTGGGTGAACTCAATGGCCAATTGTCCACTGCCTCCCTCTAACCCGAGTGGGAGGCACCAGCCTGGGACTCAAGTCTGGCTACGGCTGCCTTCCCCCAGGGAAGGGGCTGGGGGCACAGCCTCCCACTAGCACGAAGGGCAGTACACGCAGAACTGATCTCCAGGTTTGGATGTGACCAAGAAGGCACTTTGAAGTTACATCCTTATTTATAGACAAGCCATGGATTTTTTGTAGGGGAACTGCCCTGCCTGATAAGGGCACCTCTAGGTACTACAAGTAAGTTACTGGTTAGTTAAGGCACTCCACCACCCGGTAACACCAAAGTGCAACAGTTTGGAACCGGACCTTGCAGAGTCTCTCTGTGGTAAATGGCTCTGCTAAAGCCAACAGCACTGTTCACACAGGCATCTGCAAGTTCAGCCCACTAACATGTCTTTAACAGTGCAATTCAGCAAATAAAAAGCACCTTCGCAAAGAGAGACACAATCACTGTGCAGTTTTCCAGAGGCAGGTTAAGGGCACAAGCCCCTTGTCCTTGAGAACATCTCAAGAAACCCTGACAGCCTCAAATATTGCAAGAGCTTCAGGAGTTGGCTGAGTAGCACAGCTCTGTGCTTTATCTTACCAGAAAGATAGATGGATTCACGTGCAAAAAGCACAATGGGCACAGTCCAGAGCAAGCTTGGTCTGAAACTGCATCACAGAACAGCCTTAGGAGTGTTGTCTTAAAAAGTTATGGAAGTCTGAAAAGGAACGGAAAGTCTCCTCATCAAGGCAAGCAAGTCCACCGGAGCACATTCAACAAGCTTGGATGTATGCTCAGGCAGGACTTAAGATTGTTAGCTTTCAAAGACAAAGCTGTTTACTCATGGCTCACCTACACAGCCTGCTTGGCCTTTGTGCTATGATGCTTTTGTTTCAGGTGAAAAATTGCGTCAAACTTGCTGCACAGGAAATGAAAGCCTTGCTCAACAGCTATCACACAAGGTACAGAGATGAAACATGTAGAAACATTTGTCCTAAAACAAAATACAAGGAGTTTTACCAGTGGGTACAAAACAAACATTAAACCACAAACCCTGAAATACTCTGAAAGACATTTTTATCTGTGGACAACTGAGTGCTATATGTTGGACAGGGAGGACACATGTAAGGCAACCAGCCTCTGAGGTCTTCTCTCCTTTTACATCAGACACCATGGGGAGCTTCAAAGCTGCAGCAATCTTAGAGATCTTGACTTAGGCATTGGCAAGAGGAAAACCAGCCTTAATATAATTTTGGCCAAGTGTCTTTGTATTTTCATCAGCTGTGACAGATTAGAGCTGCCCCATGAGCCCCTCACTAGGCAATCATGGGCTTCTTCACCTCCCAGGCCCACTGTTAATCAGGTGAAGAAAAGGACTTGGTCTGGGCAGGAGGATCTAGAGCTTTCTCCTCCCAGAAGAAATGCTACAGGAGACTCAGCCACAGGATGAGCAGATTTCCCATTGCCCCACCAGTAAACCCTGACAATCAAAACACACCCCAGAAGGTGCGGTGGTCTCAGCATGGTCTGCCCAGCCACAACACTCATGTAAAGCCTCTAGAGAGCTTGTCCGTCTTGCCCCAAAGGGACAAAAAACCCAAACAAACCAAACAAACAGGAAGAGCAATGTCCCATTATAGTGAACTTAGCAAGGGCTGCGAGGGACCCAGTCTGGGTGACCGACTGGCACGTGTCCTACAGGGGTGGCAGAGGAGTGGTGACAATGGGGAAAGGCTGCGAGCACAGGAACATGTGCTGCTGCCTGAGGAAGGCATCACAACCCTTCCCTGCACACCTGCATCACCCAACATCTGCCCTCGGCCCCAAGACAGCTACATCTCCCTGTGCCTCTGTCAGAAGTTCCCCAAAAAACTCAAGAGAAAACGACAGATACAGGGAACGTGCCGGCAGGAAATCAAATGGGTGATCAGATCAAGATCTGTGTGCCTTCTCTTTTGAAAGAGAAATGGAGGAGTGAGATCCAGTGAAGATTTTCAATACTCCGTGCCACTGAGCATGGCCAGGCACAAGTCATCTGTCCCCGAGACAGAGCAAAGCCATGAGACACACCAAAGTTGCGCTACACTCTTCACAGGCTCCTGCAGAGTATGGGGATAGCATAGCAACACCAAAATCATAGCACTATAGGCTTTGTGTAAGCCTCAAAAGAGCTCACATCTGTAGATCACGTTCTGCCACCCCTCTGCTCCTTTAATGGGACACCCTCTGCTTTAATCCACTCCTCCAGAAAATCACATTGCGGCGTCGCCAGCCAGTCCCAGTCTCTGCTTTGCTCGTGTTGCACAGCCCTCCATGCTGATCAGTGGGTGGGTACGTCTTCTACAGGCAACAAGACTGACTCATGCTTCCTCTCCTTCCACACAATTTTAGACACGGTGTCCTTTTCAAACTTCATTTGACTCCCTTTTTTCCAGTCTAATTGGCAAAGCTGATTACACAAAGCTGGAGGCACATTCTTCGCGCCTAGATTTTGCCTACCCTGTTCCTAGGGTGTGTGAGGCTGTTGATGTGGAGTCCACTGATCCCATTAAGGAAGAAGAGAAAGGCAGCGATGAACTCACACCAGTACGTCAGCGTGAAGCCTGTGAAGGTGAGATGATCCTTCACGAGGATGGAGAAGCTCAGAACCCCAGTGGCCGACAAAAAAAACGAGACAAGGATGAGAATCGAGCCCATTGACCACTTCCGCCTTGCATTGGCATCCTCGCAGACTTGGGACACCATCAGCAGCTCCAGGCCAAATATAGCAACCACAACGGCAAAGGAGACCATGCTTCTTATGGGAATCACCCCCACGCTCAGCCCCTCCACCTTGGCCAGGCTGAGATCAGTGACACACTTCAGGACGCTGCCGTTGCTAACGGTGCAGAAGTGCCAGAGTCCGAAGAGCTGGCCCCTCGCAAAGAGCCAGCGGCCATCGCAGATGGAGATGGACGACAAGACCACCGCTATTGCCACACACAAGATGATCAGGCTCCTGATGAGTGTCTCAAAGAAGGATTTCTGTGGGCTCCGGTGTGCCAGCAGCCTCGGCGCCTTAAAGGATAGCGCGGGGAAAAAAAAAACAAACCTGAGTTAACAGCACTACTTAAGGGTGAAGTGAAACCAGAGGGACAAAGCTGTGGGGCTTCAACATTTGAAAATATTTGCTTGTGCACATCAAACCCTTTCTTGCAGAGGAAGGCAATGCAGTTAACAGGCTGTACCCAGGAGGAAGGAAGCATGGGTGAAGCTCTCCCGGTTCCCCGGCTGCACGAACAATGCTCCCATGTCAAGGCCCAGGTTCGGGATCACAAAGGCTCTGGGCTAAATAAGATCCCGGC